GGTGGTGGTGTTTGTGGCGATGTTGGCGTCGACTACGCGTCTGTGAATTATTGGCCTTATTATTATCCACATCACAAGTATGAGAACAGCTATTTCAGCAACAGCACCACCAACAGCCACGGCAATGTTGTCGTCAGCAGCGACCTCAGCAGCCACAACAATAACCATAACTCACAGCATTTTTTGCCACACCATGAAAATTATTTCAACGATTCCAACGTAAATTTTCATAAAAATGCTGTTGAAAATCACCAAAATGATGGAGGAGAAGAAGAAGTGGTTGACGACAGCTGGTGCAGTACGTACAGCTACAACAACCACTTCACATCGCAGCCACCAACAACATCGTCGTCGTCAACAAAAATAATCAACCCAACGATGTTAAGCACATCTTCCATGCATTTAAACAACATCACAGACGAACTGTCACAAAAAAATATTGTAGATAAGCCCGAATATTGCCACGGTTTCAATTTCCCTCAAACTTTCACACCATCAAGTTTCAGCAGCCAACATTACGACAGCAACTCATATGCAAGTTTCAACACAACCAGATTATTCACCGGGCACCAAAATAACCTTGATCAAATTGCTGAAAACAACTTCAACAACATCCCAACACTTCATTTTTCACCACAACAGCAGAATGAGAACTCCATCAAATCCTCACCAGTTACGACAAATTTTGACAGCAAACACTCAAAATTATCACCCAGTGAAGATTGCATAACGGCATACCCTACTACCGACACCAACAACACGAGTTTTTCAACAAATTTCAAATTTTTCAACAACGTTGATCAAAACCTTTCAACAAACATCCTAGATTTCAACAAAAACGAAAAACCGACTGCAGATTTTTTACTTTCGAACTGTTGTAAACCGATTTTTCAACCAAGCCAGCAACACCAACATCTTAATTTTTACAATTTTCAACAAAATTTTCAAAAATATTCCGGTATATTTCAACAAAATAGCTTTTCAGCGTACAAAGATATCAATATTTTCAACAACAACATTAACAACAGCGTCAACAACAATATGAACAACAACAACAACAACGACAATAAAAATCGTGTTGATGAGAATGATCAGGCTATATTGGACAATAACGATTCCAGATCTGATTCTATTTACAGTGATGAGAGTTGCTCTACAGCCGAAAATGACGTCAACAACATCAGCAGCAGCAACAAAAACATCAACAACATCACAACAAAAACATCAACAACAACAACAACATCAACATCAGCAACAACAACAACATCGTGACAAATCGAATCAATCAGAGCTTTGAATACAATGACGACAATAGCGTTGATAGCTGCGAAAACAACAACAACAACAACATCAACAATAATAATAATAATAATAACATCATCAACAGCAACAACATCAACAATAAGATTAACAAAAGTATCATGAACAACAACAACAACAGCAACGCAATATTTTCGTCGCATTCTAATATAAGTTGTAAATGAATTTTTAAGACGAACGAACAGAATTAAATTAATTATCAATGTGTAAACAAACACACACATTCACACAAACACACGCAAACACACATACAAATACATACTTTTGTATGATGCATACAAACATGCACGTGTATATATATACAGACTTATATCAACAAATATATACAACAAATACCTGCATACATTCTATCGCAGTGCTTCCCGACAATTTTCAAGTTGTTACCCCAAATTAATTCTTTCGAGAAGTTGGCGACCCGATTTGATTTAGTCAAAAAAAAACAACAACAAAGGTATTAAAAATTTATTTAGAAACTAAATTGAAAATAGTGTTTAAATTTTTATTTTATTGCAAATTGTTAAAAATTAATGCGACGATTTTGTGCATGCAAGTTTTTAATTATGTCTTGAATTTTCGGCTGAGAGTCCGTTAAAGCCATATGCACATCATCTTCCACATTCAATTTATTTCTAGCCTTCGTGTTTTCATTTGTAGTAGAGTTGAAAATCCACTTTCACTGAGATACGTTGAAGGGAAAGGCACTAATATTTCAAGGGAAAACACGCTAACGTTACGATGGGAATGTTGCTTCGTACACCAGAAGTCACCCGACGATGTTTCTTTGAAAATATCGCTAACTGTGCAATCATTTCTGAATTCTGAAAACTCGTCTTGAAGTTCACCAAAAACATTAGCAATGTTTATAGAGGAATGGAATGGATCATCTTTTCGCACTGCAGCATCTTTTTCACTCAACTCTGGAAAATAATGTCGGAGGTCTGTTTCCAAAGATTGGAAATGATCTTTAATTGCAATTTTTAAAACGTTTACAATTACCTCTTCCGATTCTTCAATCATGTTCAAGTGCTCAAACATGGCATAGTTTCCATCCAGCATTGCTCTACGTTGCTAGTTTGGAAGATTGGAACAAAAAGCATGAAGAGCGTCTCTAAAAAGAAATGAATTCATATCTCTGCTTTGAAATTTTTAATTTAATTTGTTCAAGTGGGCAAATAGGTCGGACAGGTATGCTACTTGTTGAATTCAAGGTTTGTCTTCAGAATACGTGCTTAAAATGAGTTCTTCTTACACTTGTAGGAATGTTTTAAGTTCTCTTCTTAACTCACAAACACGTCCAATGACATTCCCTTTTGATAAACGACGTACCGCCGTGTAATAAAAAAGATTTTCATGATCAGAATTCATATCCTTACAAAATTCTTTGAATAGGGAGTGCTGAGGGCACTTGATTTTTTGTAGTTAACAGTTTTAATCAGTGAATTCAAAACCTTCTTTAATTACATTGGTAAGGTTTTTGTGGCGATGAAACACGCAGTATATTCTTTTTTTTTTGAAAATCTGATTTTCCTAAATTTCAAAATTAACCGCGTCCCCTCAATAAACCCTTCACCGGTTGGGAATCACTGCTCTATACACACATACACACATACAAAAAGATACACATACACTCACTCACACACACACACACACACACACACATATATATATATATATATATATATATATACGCTCATACGTGCAAGCACACACACATACGGACTAATGTATACACAAAAACCTATATATACGCATGTATTTCCAAAGACAGACACGCACACAAACAAACATGTGTGCGTGATCGGAATGTAGCCCCCCACGGAGTTCAAGATGGCGGCGGTGGCCATCTTGAAAAGGAGAAAGAGGAAGAAGAAGAGGAAAAGAATTGAAAAAGAAAAGGTCTTTTGTTCTGAAACGCTCTATCTTACGTAACACGCACGCATTCTAACTAGCGAATGTATGTATGTATGTATGTGTGTGTGAGTGTGTGTATGTATGTATGTATGTATGTATGTATGTATGTATGTATGTATGATTTCCAACAGCAGTCTTGTAGCTTTCAACGATCGTCAAGTGTTCGTTACTTCATGGTTCCCGATAGATACATGGTTCCTGCTTCAATCGCAAACTTCGTTGAACGAACGTTTATTTGAATACCAACAGTAATATAAACACTAAACCAATCCAAGCAACTGCATAAATCACAGTTACAACTCCTCTTCAAACCTCGCCAGTAACTTCGCTATTGGCAACTCCTTATTTAGCCTTTACTGTAGATTTCGACAATCCTCTATGCTGTGAAAAGATTCTACGACTCGCAAACAATGACAAATAACGAAGATTTTTAAAAACTGTTATAACCATTATTATTGTTGTAAATAATAATAATAATAATATAATAATAATATTATTATTATTATTTATTGTTGTAATTAACTTTAACATTATTATTATTCATAATTATTTTTACTGGCTTGCATTGGAAAAAGTATTAATAAATTTACTTCTTTTATCTAACAATGTCATCGTTCTTTCTTTCATTCTTTTCATCATTATCATTATCATCATCATCATCATCATTACCATCATCATCATCATTACCATCACTGTCATCATCATCTTCGTCGTCATCATCATTGTTGAGAACACTATATATATATATATATACCCCCGTAACACTGTTTAGTAATAAATCTACAGGGGTCCTATGTTAAAAAGTCTCTCTCTTTCTCTCTCTCTCTCTCTTTCTCTTGTATTCATTTTCTGTCTTTCTCCATCTCTTACTCTTTCCTTTATCTTCCTCTCTCCCTTTTTCTATTTCTTTTTCATTTTCTCTTCCTCTCTCCCTCTCTCTATTCTTCTCCCTTTCTCTATTCCTCTTTCTCTCTCTTCCTCTCTCTCCATATTTTTCTTTTTCTCTCTCGCATTTTGCGCATATAGTGTGTGTGTGTGTGTGTGTGTGTGTGTGTGTGTGTGGTGTGTTGGTTTTATAATGACATCAAATAAATAGCTCATAGACCACCCATAGCGTTAAAATCTCGAACCACCACACGCACTCACACAGACACACACACATACACCCATACACACAAATATGATTGTATATCTGTATGTGTATGTATGTGTATGTATATATGTATGTGTGTGCGGGTGTGCGCGTGTGTATGTGTGTGTACTGGAAAAGATAATTGTGTATGCATACAGTAAATACGGAGCATAATTGCGCTATTTCTTACGCCTCTCTCATATTTACTTACGGACGTGTGACACACACGCAGGCACATACACATACAAACACACACATACAAACACACACACACACAAATATATATATATATATATAAAGTTTAATACGCAAATCTAGCCCTAAATAGACAACTACCAAGATGTATGTAGGTGTGAATTATCGTTAGAGTTTGAACGCAATAACTTAAGAAAGTAAAATGTAAGGACGATAGAAAGAAGGAGAAAAGAGAAGAAAAAGAGGATAAATAGAGAAAGAGAGAGAGAGAGAGAGTGATGCAAACAGTTAGAAGGCCTGAAGATAGGACGGAAAAGGCAAACGGAGTAAAAGAATAAAAACAAACGCAGCCTATGATCATCATTAGTCGAGGGTGAAGCAAAAAACTAAGAAAGTGAGAAAAATTAAGAAAGTGAGTGAGAGAGAGAGAGAGAGAGAGAAAGAGATAAGAGAAGAAGAGTGAGAAAGAAGAAAGTTATAGAAACAGTAAAAGAAAGAGAGAGGAAGAGAGAGAGAAAGTGAGGAAGGAGAGCGTAGAAATCTGCGCCTGACAGTCAAAGTTAATAGTTTTTCTTTCCACTCTCTTCCTTATTGTCCTTGTCATTCCTGGCGTCTCGTTAGTGTCGTGTGTGCGTGTGTGTGTGCATGTGTGTGTGTGTGCATTTGTGGACGTATTCGCCTTAAATTGTGTACACTTTTGTTCATGTACTCTACCACCAGTTTGAAGTACATTTACACGATAAAATGTGTTCGTTTGCATAATTTTTTTTTGCGTGCGTGATTTTGTACACACACACACACACACACACACACTTACGTACACACACACGTACGTACACACACACACGTACGTACACACACACACACACACACGTACACATAAACGCATATACACCTATGCTACTTTGTGTGTATGTGTGTGCGTGCGTGTGTGTACATATTTGCACATGTGCATATGTACATTGAAGGCAGATTAGAAAGCGAGGACAAAGAGAGTAGTGAGAGGTGGAGGAGGATGGAAAGAGTGTAAGAAATGAAGGAATGAATGAGTAGGAACTAAATGTGACAAAATAAACACGCATACGTAGCATATCATATGCGCGCACACACACACATACAAAAACACACACATAGAGGAGAGAGAAAGAGAGAGATGGAGAGTGATACATTAAATAAAAAGAGATAGTAAGAGATAGAGAGAAAAAGAGAGATAGAAAGAAAAAGAGAAAAAAAAGAGAAAGTAGGAGAGAGAGAGAAAGAAAGAGAGAGAGAGAAAGATAAAGAAAGAGAAGAAGATAAAGAAACGCAATTAAGGCATAGAAGAATACTCTTCGTAAATTGCTTGCAATAGTTTATCTTTGTTATTCTTATTTCTTTGTCATTTTTTGCTGTTGTTATTATTATTATTGTTGCTGTTAATTCAATCTTCCCATTATTATTATTACTTATTATTATTTATTTATTTACCATACCAAATATTTTAATCGTTTATTAATGTCGAGAGAAGCACACGAGCGCGCAATGAAATACAATAGAACGTTATTATTATTATTATCATGTTTAACACAGAAACAAACTATTATTATAATTATTATTAATATTGTTATTATCATTATTATTAATGTTACTATTAATATTAATATTGTTGTTATTATTATTATTATGATTTCTGACTCAATCACGTGATCGTCGTCGACAACGTCATCAACAACAACAACAACGTCATAAAAAGGACATTGCTGTAATCAATAATAATAACAACAATAATAACAACAATAACAATAATAATAATAATAATAACAACAACAACAATAATAATAATAAGATCAGCAATAACAAAAAACCAAACAAAGAGATAAACACAATTAAAAGGCATTTATGAAAGATATATATATATATATATATACATATTTATATACACACATATATATATATATATATAAAGAAAGAGAGAGCGAGAGAAAGAAAGAGAGAAACAAACACACACATAAGTATAATAAACAATAAGAAATAAAGCAAATTCAAGCTTATAACAATCATGTCTATAATATATATATATATATATATATATATATATATATATATATATATATATATATATATGACCTAGATGGATATAGAGGTTAGGAAAATACCCTCAGCATATATACAAACCATATAGCTTCATGATAGATTTTTTCGTAAATTTAAATAGGAAAAAAAATATAATGACGTCATAATTGAGTCAAAGATAATATAATATAGATTCTTACACACACGCGCGCGCACACACACACACACGCACGCACACAGAAGCAAAAGCCAGTAAATAACATGATTTTTTTTTTGAAAAATTGAAATAAAGCACTAGTAAAACTAAAATATATAATATATATATATGTATATAACGCGGTAAAAAAAACTTATCTATCTATTGTTACCTCTCACACACACAAAAACACAGACACACACAGAGAAACACACACACACACAGAGAAACACACACACATATACACACAGAGACACGCACACATACAAGCACACAAACACGGACACGCACGCACACACAAACAAACAAAAATGCGCGAACGGTAACGACAATAAAAATCAACTTTAAGCCAATAAATTAAAATGAATGAATGAGTATATGGAAGGAACATTATTAATTAATTAACTAATTAATTAATTATAGTTAGATAATTACAAGCAATAATGAAAATAATTAGGGTAAGGTGTATATATCATGATTTAAATGAAATAATAATAATCACCATCATCATATTACTAATGCCACCTTTACTACTACTACTACTACAACTACTACCACTACTACTGCAACTACTACTACTACTATAATTATGTTTATTATTATTAGTTATAATAATTTTAATTATTTTTAATTATCTTGAGAAGGCAGATTCATCTCCGCTAGTAGCATTAGCATTGAACTATTAAAAAGCTTATAACAAGAATTGAATAGCGATAACAATAATATTAACAACAATAATAATAATAATAAAAATAATAACAACAACAATAATAATAATAATATAATTAGCATCATCCTCACTTGGCTGAATGTATTTAAATAAGAAAATAATATGACATGACTAAAAATTAAATGAACACACGCAGCGATGACAGTCAGATTGGCAATCTGACTTACAAACAGACAGACAGACAAAAACACACGCAAACAGACAAAGAAAAGAAGTAGGCGTGGCCTAAACCCTCCTACGCAGCTCGCCATTGGCTGATTTCTCGCCGCCGATATTTTTAGCAGCTGACCTCGACTCGTCATCCTCTGAATTGCTCTCTGGCTCTGTGTCACTCCTTCCATCCTTCTCAACCTGGTGGATGAATAAATGAATGAATGAATGAGTAGATGACAAAATGAATGAATGAATTGATGAATGAACAAACAAACAAACAAACGAACGAATGATTGACTGAATTAATTAACAACAACAATACGCAACACTTTACAAAGTCACACAAACGCGCGCACACACACAAAAACGCCCCACCCACACAGTCACAAAACCACACACCGCAACCCCACACACCTGGCCCTTGATGACGTAGTAGTAGGCCATCTTGAGGATCATGGCGAACCAGATGATGTGAAGGACTTGCAGAGTACAGAGGAGCCCGTTGTAGACGAAGTAAATGTTCGCCATGCCAACGATTTTCGTTGCCTCAAACAGTGTGCTTTTCAGAATGCTGTCGTGTGGAGTATATGTGTGCGTGTGTGTGTGTTGTAGTGTATGTGTGTGCGTGTGTGTTGTAGTGTGTGTGTGTGTATGTGTCTTGTGGTGTGTGTTGTGTGTATGTGTGGTTCGTATGTGTCTTGTGGTGTTTGTGTGTGTGTCTTGTGGTGTGTGTGTGTGTATGTGTGGTTCGTATGTGTCTTGTGGTGTTTGTGTGTGTGTGTGATTTCAGTATTAAACACATGCAAATATACATACACATAAAATAAACACACATACACATAAAACATATGCAAACATACATACACATAAAATAAACACACATGCACATAAACAAACAAACAAACTTACAAATATGCAAACACACACACACACACACACGCACACTAACTAAAAAGGATAGATGCATATCCTTGTTATGAACCAGACTACAGTGAAACAGACAAAGATGAGATCTGTTGTCTTTCTGTACTTACAATAATTCGCCAGCTTTCCCAGCTGAGTGTTTTTTTTAATTTTGTTTTAAAGTGAAATTAAGTTAAAAAATATAATTAAACTATCTAAAATAATGATCAACCAACAAACAAACAAACCAATCAATCAATTAATCAATCATTCAACCAACAAGCCACTGATCTAATCTAAAATCAAATCAACTAACCAACTGGCCAATCAACGATTAGACCTCCAAAATTAGGCTAGCCAATAAATCAACTAGCCATTTAACTAACCAACCAATCAACTAACTGACAAACCAACTAATCACTCAACAAACTAAACAACCAATCAACTGACCAACCAATCACTCAACAAACTAACCAAACCAATCAACAGACCGACCAACTAATCAACAAACCAATCAACAAACTGACCGACCAACCCATCCAAAAATTGACCAACCAATCAAAAAACTGACCAACCAACCAACTAACCAATCAAACAACCGACCAATCCACAAACAAACTGACCTCCATGATCCAGTCGACAGCGTCATGCACGCACATGATCAGCGATCCGATCCGCATGAAGTTAGCCGAGTAGGACATTGCCATCAGGGAGATAGTCACTATGTGATGAACTATCATCTCCTTGAAATCCTATTTATGGTTGATTGTCAGATTATCTATATATCTATCTATCTATCTATCTATCTATCTATCTATCTATCTATCTATCTATCTATCTATCTATCCATCCATCCATCCATTTATCAAATAACCATCATTCCGCTTTTTGCTTCAATCAATCAGCTAATCAATCAACCAATCTATCTATCTATCAATCCATACATCTGTCCATCCATCAACCAATCATTTCAAACCTTTCTTCTGATATCCATGAATAGAGACAGAACGAGCGACCAATAGAAACTGATCTCGATCATGTAGTAATACCAGATGTCTGGATAGACGTGCTGCCATTCGTCAGTGGAGTTACATTTTAAAAATTAAGAAGACGCCATTGGCCGATGGATTTCAAAATTTAAGATCTTACTATTGGTTAGACGAAACTGAAACATTTAAAACGTACACATACAAGCGTGCAAATATGTACATATACAAACACACATACAACAAACAAACAAACATACAAAAAGAAGAAATTATAAAACATACCTGAGTAGGATAGTCATACCAGCAATGATCTGTATCCCAGAACCAAGATTTCTAATGCAACAAAAAATTTAAAAATTGGTGATGAAAATAATTTGAGTAAGAAAAGAATGTACATGCCAATCAATCAATCAATCAATCAATCAATCAATCAATCAATCAATCAATCAATCAATCAATCAATCAATCAATCAATCAATCAATCAATCATCAACCACTCATTCATTTCTCAACTTATCCATCCATCTATCCATTCATACATCCATCCATACATCCATCTATCCATCCATCCAACAACAACAACACACGTTTAGACGACATTTTCCCCGAGATCGGGGGTTGCCGTTTGGCTACCTATGATGAAACCATTGTCACTTCTGTCATCATAAGTAATTTATTTGGCTAATTTTTACGCAGGACGCCCTTCCTTACGCAACCACAGTTATAAGCGGTGGGCCTAGCCTTTGATGATCCAACATCACTCACAAGGCAGTGAGGGTCAGTTTAATGTCATAACCAGGACAGTGTCATAACCAGGACATATCCATCCATCCATAAAAAAAATTATTTTTTAATTTAGCAAAAACAATCCATCAAACTGACTAACATCCCACAAGGTTATAAGTCCACCCCAGAAAGCAAAGAAATAAAATATGAACCTCCAGCTAGAAAAATAAATATCTATGTAAATAAATATCTATTTATGTATGTATGTACAACATACATTCATACATACTTATATACAGACAGATAAAAGAAAACACATACATACAAACAAACATACATAACTACACACACAGCACACACATACATACATACAAACGAACATACATACATACATACATACATACAAACACACACACTTACATACATAAACATACACACACACTTACATACATACACATACACACACACTCATACAAACCTTGTCTCTCTAAACCTCTGCATCTCACTCGGTTTGTCCTGCACTCTTCTTCTTCGCCACCATCTCTCTATCTGAATTTCACTCATGTCCAACTCCTTCATTAAACTCTACACAATTATTTTTTAATTATTATTTAATTATAATTATTATTTGATTATAATTATTATTTAATTATCATTTATTATTGGTTATTTCAATTACATTATTTCTATTAAGCTATTATGAATCAACCAACCAACCAACCTACTTAACCAATCACCAATTTATTTATCAATTAACCAATTAAACAAAAAATCAATCAGCCAATTATATCAGCCAGCCAGCTAGCCAGCGAACCAATCAACCTTCATATGCTCTTTGCTAGGAAGAACCTTCTTATTCTTCTTAAACAACTTCTCGAGGACTTCATTGGGTATTGGCTTTTTTTGACACAACTCCCTAAGTTTATATTGCCGACCAATTGGCAGGGCAACATACCTGAAGATGCCAATTAAGAAAATCAGAAAAATAGTGCATACCAAATTGATAGCACACATAATATAATAATTAATTAATATTATATAATATGATGTAATAATCCTAATCAATTGGTTTACTAATTAGTAATTACCTACCGTTCCCACATCAATCTAAGAAAAAATAGGAAGACGGCCAGCGGAAAAGGGATCCAGAGGTCGCTGGCACTCGGAAAAAACCTCTCTTCCGTACGTTCCAGAACGGCCCAGGTCGTGTTAGATGGCAGCCAAAATGATTCGCTCCAAAAAATATTTTTTACGGTTAAATAAACGCTGTAGACGCCGCCGTCGTTTTCGGCCATGATTTTTTTTTTAAATTTTTTAAATCAAAATAAATCGGAAAGATATTTTAAAATATGAATTCAATAAAAAAAATCGTAATTTCTTCCAAAAATAAAAATAAATTTATTAAAATTTTGAAACAAACGAAGATTTTTCTAATTAAAAAAAGAGCGAGCGATAACAAACCGGATTTGTTTATTAAAGTTCTAGCAAAGATAAAAATTAAAAAAAAAAATTAATTCAAGGTTTAAGTTCTACCGTAACTATTTCGAAAATCTCATCAAAACCAACTTTTTTCAATTTTTTCACAAAAATTTTTTTTGTTTAAAACTAATTTCAATTCATTTTTTTATAAAAAGTTTATTGAAACTAGATACTAAGACAATTAATTTTTTTAGAGGTTTTAGTTCAATTCTATAACAATAACATTAACACACGAACACATGCATACATAATTAAGATGATAATTAAGTGATTAAATTAATAATTACATCTATAATTTTATAATTCCAGAGTGAGAAAAACGCCACACATCGTCCTACATTGGAGAGGAAGAGCTCAGTTTCCTTGCAATCGGCGTTAATACACTGACCTTTAGAAAAGTAATAATAATAAAAAAAGTAAAAAAAATCTATACTATTTATTTTACTACTACTACTACTACTACTACTACTACTACAACTACTACTACTACAACTACTACTTTTATTATAATTATTTATATTATATTTATATATATTATTTATATTACGTACGTACAAACATACAAACAAACAAACATACATACATATATAAACGTGTATATGTATATACATATTCTATCAACCTTGAAAATAATTTTGTAGGTGTTTTGTCTTCTTAAGTATTGTTCTTTTTTCAAGTTTTTCCCCGGGCTTCTTTCCTCAAATCGATTCGTTA